AAAAAAAAACAAACAAAACACCCCTAAAAATTAAAAAGGTGATTCAATCACATAAAGGAGTTAGAGACAATCCATGTTTGTGCTACAGGGTTCCTAAAAGATCCTGGAAGAACATGCTGCAAATGACCACTGATTCATTGTCTTTATTTCTGAAGACATCCAGAATAGATCTCATCTGTGCAGCTGCATCAAACGTAAAGCCAGATAATTCCGTGCTCAGAGTGGTCATGCTCATTTGGTACAATGTACAACTTGAAATCAACTATTACTGGGCTAGAAATACAGTTCAATTACAAGTTACTGGAATACAAGCACTAAAACTAAGAATGCAGTCACTGCTACAAAGGAGACAGTCACAGCATACTTTAATAACTGAAATGTACTGAATTCTGTGCAAACCTGCCTGTGGACACTTGCATTCACAAACTGATAAGCCACATTATTTAAAGCATTGCTAACAAGGCCCTTGGGAAACAACTATATTTATATTCCTTGCAGCATCCAGCACATAAAGCAGTTTGACAGTACTGCAGCAAGATAGACCTATTTCTAACTATGGTGCTATGTGGGAGCAGTTGGTAAGAAAAAGCTATCTGCTGGGGGTTTTTGGAGGGTTACATACGAAATTAACACTTAAAAAAATTCCCAAAGCTGGCAGAGCACAGGGCAGGCCACTGACATTGCAGTAAATGAAATCCATAGAGAAAAAGTAATGTTCTAAGATTGAAGTGCTATTGAAATACTGATACAGAAGGTCAACACAGTATCCAACAGGATTAAAATACTGGACATGGGTCATAGGTCCTTCAGGAAGGTCCCTGGTCAGGGAGAGACAGGCATTCAGCTTTCTGCTAGCAGTTTATTCTGACTGTGTGATAACCATGCTCAAGCCTGGCAAGTTTTACTAGTTTGGTAAAATTGCTTTGCAAACATAGCTGTACATTTCCAGAACAGCTTTAACCTGGGAGCAGTATAGCTGTGTTATAACCCCAGCTCATAAACCTCACCAGGTCTCAGCTAACTCCACAAATAAGCAGCTAAAGCCTCTTTATACCACATCAACAGAACAGGGAGCAGGGGCAGCTTAACAGCATTAGGTCTTAACACTGGTTGCCGGCCCCAGTGAACCCTTACTGACTGATGTGTTATCGAAAAGTACAAAACCAGTGTTTAATAGGCATGGGCACACAATGCATTTCAATCAAGCACACACTGTTGTTTATGCTGCCTCTGAGATGGATGGGATAGGGGGATGGGGTAGGGCAGGAGATTCCTCCTCCAGGATGAAGCCTGCCAATGCAAAGTTCCTGAGGACACCCGAATGGGCAGCCAGTGCTAGATCCATGTTGGCTGTCATGTGGACAGAGTACGTCTAATCTGATATATCATGTGAAGTCTCAAAGCTGGATTCATCATATCAAATTGCAGCCTCTGCCCTTGCTTTCCTCTTCAGGATAAATCCTGTATCATACGATTCATGTGACTGAGAAGAAAATGGCTTTGGATTCTGATATATTTTCTCGATTTCTAACCGCCACAAGAAAGATCAAACCATTTTGCTTTGTTCTCCTCCCCTGCTCAGCCCACCCACCTGAGCTTTACAGGCACGATGCCTCAGCACGACCAAGCACTCCCAGAACACACAAACTACCTTTTGTTAAACGCCCGAGCCACGACCTGTGCAACCCTCTACACCTGCACTATGTCCCACAAGCAGCACCCAAACAGACACTAGCCAGGGAACCAGCTTGTCCCTGTAGCTAAACTTAGATTTCCTACATCTAAAGACTCACAGACCATCCTTTATTACAGGTCTACATATATATAAAAATGAGTATATTGCCTTGGGACTGAGGTCTCTCCACTTCAGCGCCTGACATTTAGGATCAGCTTAGGATTGGATTCCTACAGAGAAGCAGAAGAGGAAAAAGGAAAGAAAAGCTTTTTCTCTCCATGCTCTCCAGCCTCCAACCATTTTCAGTTCAGGAGCTTCTTGGGTCAGATGTGGTTCCCATGAATTTGGTAACCTCAAACAGATTTCTCTTCCATGAGCTTGTCCAGATGCCCTTTGAACCCAGTAAACTTCCAGCACTTACAACATCCTGTTGGAGGGAGTTACCACAGCTTAATTACACATTGTGTGTAAAGCCACTTCCTTCAAATTTAAGATTGTCCCTATTAGTTTGTTTTTCTGCCTTCTAATTCCAAAATGGAAAGAGAGCAAACAGTTTACCTCACTCACCCTCTTTCTGCTGCTCATGTAGCAAGACCTTCCAGACTGTAGCATCTTAGCATAGATCTGTTTTGACTTTTAATACCTTTACACCTTTGACAGTAGCAACTGGGTGATCTATCAGCTGGCTGCTCCTAGCATAAGGAGTAACAAAGTGGTAGAGGTGTCACGGTGAAGCGCTTCAGCCAGGAAGAGCCCTTGGAAGCCCAGCAGCACAGCCGTGTGTACCTTCCCATCCCACATCATCCAGGCACAGCCCCAAACGCACCACGGCAGGAGCAAACAACTCAGGCCCCAGGAGCTGGAGCCCAGAGGGTTTTGACAAAGCTGTGCTGTTATATCCATAGAGCCACACCCTGAGCAGTGTTTCAAGTGCAAACAAGCTGCAGCTCTGTCATTCCCCAGTACAGTTCCACTCCTTGCTTTACTCAAGTGCAAGACTATCTTGCCTTTAAAGCAGGTGATAACAGAGTCCCTGAATGGTCTCAGGCCAGCAGTTACATTTTCTGCATTAGCAGAAGGGTTTTTTTGTCAGTTTCTCATTTCTGCCAATTTCTTCATACTGGTATTTTGTGTTTCCTTCAGGTGATGGGTAAGAAACACAGCCCATGTTCTCACTAGACACAGATTCATTTGAGCCTCCACTTGCCTTTTAAAGCTGTCTTCTTTCTACTAAATTTAATATAAATCATATTGATTTTGTACTGGCTTCTTTTCTAATTGACATGCAATTACTGTCAAGTGCTAACTGAAGGCTGAGATGAACACCTCTACTTAAGAACCAAACCTAAACAATGAACACTAATTGTTTCTGGTTCTCACCACCCCCACCCCCCAGGCTGAGTGATGTTGCTGTAATTCTTTCCTGAACACTCTGTTACTATTCCATTATTGTACCTGGGACTGATGCCTTAGTCTGATGGGATTATCATCGTTAAGGTTGTCCTACTTCTCTTTGTTATTACTACATATTCACATTCATTCAAACTCCTTAAACTGTTACAGTATGTAAAGAGCTTTCTGGGGGAAAAAAAAAAAAAAAAGGAAAGAAAAGAAAAAGAAATCCATAACCCCCCTCCATTCTCAGGCCAAAGATCTTCAGAACTTAGATATATCAAACCAGAGGTGTCAGTTACCAAGTCTGGTCACATAAGGCATGTAATATAATTCAACCTTTTTAATTTCATTTAAAGAGATAATCAAGACACCTGATTACAGGGCAGTTCCCTGTGAACAGATAAGTAATGGTGAAAGATGGGGAACCCAGACAGAAGTAAATGCTCAGCTCTCACAGAAGACCATCAGTTGAACTTGAACAGCTCAACATTCTTAAATGACCTGAAAAAGCCAGGAAAAATAGCAATACAACAAAATGTACTGATGATGCCAAGATGTCCAGGTAATAAAGGCAAGGACTTACTGTGATGAATTTCAGACCCTTAACAGACGCTGTATCGAAGCACTAACATTTGAAATAGATAAATGTGAAGAGATACACAAGGTAAAAAAACAGATTCAACTTTCTACGTGAAATGACGGTCTGGGAGCTGATTGTTGCTGCTCAAGAGCAGTATTTTAGGGTTATATAGTTAATTCCTATAAAAGAAAAGCTCGACACTCTGAAGAGTAAAAAAAAAAAAATAAAAAATTAAAATTCCATTATTAAGCACTAAGAAAACATGAACTAACCAGAAATCATTGATTTCTGAATGTAGGAATCCACAAACACACCTGCACCACTCTGCAGTTGTGATCCTCCCCATGTCAAGAGGCTATAAAGGAACTGGAAATGACTCAGAGCAGGGCAACATGGACAATTAAATCATAGAACGGCCTCCATATGAAGAACAACTATGGCTGAACTGGAAAAAGGACAATCTGGAAGTGACACAACCGAGGAAGAAAATTACTACAGACACTCTTCCAAGATCCTAAGCTGTGGTGAGAAAAGCTGGGACATGAGTGTTCAGTCTTTAAAACTGGGACAAGGGCACTCTGGATGAGCCAGGTTCAAAGCAGAGGCAGGCAGGGCACACAGCAAGGTGCTGCTGCTTCTACCACATTTCAACTTCTTAAGTCTCTTTGAGCCCCTTTTTTCTCCCAGTTACATTTCATGCTTTTAAGCTTCTGGTTTGTATTTTCTACTTTCAGTTTCAGCTTTCCTCCTATTTCATCTGTAAGGCTTTCTTGCATTGTTTTGAAGTGCAAACAAAACAGATGCCTTCACTTCCTTTCCAAGTTATTGAATTTGCTTTCAATGCTTGATTGGCAGAAAATATCGCAAAAGGAGGTTCCTGAAACATAATTTTTAGGCCTGTTTAAGCCAAAATTGTTAGAAACTAAAATAGCAGTACATGCAAGCGAAACTGTCTTAACATTGCCACCGTGCATCATGTTTTGCAAACACCAAACTTAGCAAGGTCCTCCTGTCTACTACAAGTTTTTCTTTGTTCTTGACTATCTACAAAGTTCACCGGTTTTTCTTGGTATTCTCTCTTCCTAGACACCTTCAGCATGTCAAAATGGATGTGGAGCACCCACACACTGAATGAAACAGGTTCTCCTTGGGTGAGAAGACTGTCTTTAGGCACTCACTGCTGCCCGTAGCTGGCAGTAGAAACATGTATGGACCAGAGAACACTAACTATATCAGACAAACATATTTTTGTACCCATAGCAGACACTCTCACCTGTGGTTCTTCATCCCACCACAAGACATCTGCTGAGGTTGTACTTGTTCAGGTCAAACACCCATCAAGCCCAGCACCCTGCCTGACACATGCAGGTGCCTCATGATTAAGACAGAGTAAAAGCAGCAGCAAACGCATTGATACCTCTGCAAGTGTATTTTCTCAGTTTCCAGCTTGGGAGTATTCTTAGCTTATTTAATCTTTGTGATCAACAGCACATTTGATAGCATTTTCTTCTGTTTGATTCTGAAGCCATGTAAATCATTGTCATTCAAAGCACTTTGTGGTGCTGCATTCTGCAGTCTCAAAACAGACTGCTGGAGCGGCACCATTGGTTTTGATCTAGACCAGACTGTGCTCAGTCATGTCTTTGCCAAGCTTAAGGGTTCAAACCTTTTTAAGCATCCCTTGTATGGAATCAGTTCCTTATCCCTGATCATTCTTCTCAACCTATTCTTTGCTTTTCTAGTTGCCTTGTATCTCAAAGGCCATCTTCCTTCACACAAAACCACAGTAATCAGCATGTTCAGAACTGAGAGCTGTGCTGCTACCCTATTTCTTCTTTATTCCTTTTCCCAAAGCCTCACACACATGCTCATCTGAGCACTGTTGAGTATTAAACTCACATTTTCACAGAATTAAGACAAGCTCTTCCTCTTAAGTAGGAATAATTCACTTTCACCCCATTGGTGCATAAACAAAGTTGTTTTTTTTCCTCCAACTTTGTATTTATCAGATGAACAAATTCATCTGACATTCGACTGCCTGCACTTCAATGTCAGAAGAATGAGCTGCAAGCTCTTGTTTTTTCTTCCCTTACTACTTCATACCTTTCTCAACAGATCATTTATGAGTATGCTGAACAACATACATGTAACACATATCCCTTTTCTTCTCTTGTCCCAAACTTCCCTTCTCTGTGCTTGTTGAGTCATTCAAAATCTCCAGTAGATTTAAGCAGCACAATTTCCTTTGCAGAAGCCACACTGACCTTCTCCCATGGTAAGCTGTCAGACCATCTGGTCACTTTTTTTAAAATAATTGATTGTTTAAGAAAGCACTGAACTCTGTGATGTCCGGCTGAACCATCATTAAGAACTGCTACCATGTAAACCCATCTTTTCTTTCTCTGGCTTCAAGGTACTAAGGAGTTACACAGCATCATTAACAATTTGGTCACTTCAGGCCCGAGTTTCCCTTGGAACTCCTGAGCAAGCACCAGCTGATCCTGGCATTTTGTAACTCTATTTATCACTTTGCTCTAAAAATTTCTTTACTGACACTTCAAGCAGAGACAGATCTTCCAATGAGTGCTGTTCCACATAAAGGGAATTTCTGGCATAGGAACCTCCTCGGACTTCTCCACAGTCAACAGGAATGTACATAAGTCATTTAACTTCCTATTGATGGTTTCATCATCAAGTATTTTTTTCACTTTTTCATCATGTATTGGCCCTCCAGACTCCAGCACCTTTCTTGCTTCTGATGTACCTCAAAAAGAAAATATATTTTATTTTTCTCTATTAGTATGAAGTTGCTCAGAGTTGTTCTGGTGTGTCATTGTATTTTTCATTTGACTTGCCAGAGTTCACGTTCTTATTTACTTTTCTGGTCAACTTCATGGCTTGAACTTTCTGAAGGCTGTATTCTTATTTCTAATACTTTCTTTATCCCAAACGGCATGCTCATTCTCATCTGTCAACATTCCACAGTATAATTTAAAATCTTCCCAACAACATTTCCAATTTCAAGTGCAGAAGCCTGGCTCTGCTGCGGTTTACATGGAATCCAGCCTTTCCAAACAGCTTTTGGACTAAGGGTCAAAAAATGAGCCAATTCACTCTGTCAGTACCAAATCAAGATCCTACTCTAAGATGCCTTCTCATCTCACACAATTTCAACAGAGCAGATAGAAAGTGAAGAATAAGGAGCCTCCAGGTGTAAAATGAAAGAAAAATGAAATGTTAGCAAAGAATGCAAACAGAGATAACTGGTATTTGGAGAGCTGATAGTTCTTTCAAACCACAGACATACACAAAGATAACCTTCGTTAAAACTGTGATGATGAATCACTTTGTACACATCCACACTAGTGATCTGCTCCAAATGCCACAGTTCAATCAGTCAGTACATGGTCAGGTGAGACAGAACTACTTATTGTTGCAAAGCACTGAGAACTAACTGAGCAGAGAGACCGAATTCAGCCCCACTTCTGATTAAATTAACAATAAAAAAAGGAAGCAAACAAAAACCCCACGACTGTCAGAGCTTGAGGAAAGAAAGACCTCATATTCCTAGTGGGTGTACTGCCCAGTATCACTCAGTATACCAGTGGCTCTCCATCTGTTCCTTCTGCTAGGGACCTTGGTCATGAAAGCTGGTCAGAGATAGACAGTGAACCTTGTTCTGATGAGTTTAATTAGATGATTCACTTAGGAAGGACTGGCTGTTAGCTGCGTGTACACAACAGGGGATGGCAAGTATCTCCATGAAAGCGTAGTTTATGGATATCTCAGTTCTTTTACTGTCTCAAATGCCATTTTCGAGTGAAAACATGGTGATAGGAAAAGGACAGAAGAGAGCATGGACAGATCAGAGTTGCTCCATTAAATCCAATTATGCTTTTGGCAGCTTTTGTTCACACTTCAGAACGAGGCGAGAACAGAGACCCTATCAAGGCCAGAAGGCATTCGGACACCTAACAGTGGTTTAATATGGCTTAAAGCAACAATAAATTAACCAGAGGCAGTCTTTGGGGATATTTGTGCTTACCTTTGAGATGATCCCCAAAGTAATAAGCAACTACCTCTTCCTACTCAGCTACCTCGCTATTTATACAGTATCCAGTGTTGCAAGAGAGGAATCACACCACCAGGCAAGCAGTGGAGGATCCTTATTGTGCATTCAGGTGTGTGTATTTCCATAGCTGTACTCTGAGGGTGACGGCTGTTGCCATTTGGTGCATTTATTTTGCACAGGACTGTCATGTATTATGCGGTTTCACCTTTATTACATGTTTACTAGGACAGACTCGTCATAGATCAATTTCAGATTCAAAGGGCATGCTGGCGAGCCTTCACTGACATGCTAACTTCCTCAGACTCACCAACTAAACTTTTCCTCCGCATTAGTTAAACTGCATTTGAAGACAAATCATAAGACAACACAGCAGTACAGAACAGATTACATATATGTGGAATAACACATGAGCCAGATTAGAGGTTAGTATAAAAGGCAGAAGATAGAGTCTGCGTGAAGACTTGGAAAGAACCTAATGCTATCATAGCAGCAGGGAATAAAATACTGCAGAGACTGAAGGAGGAGATAAAACAGCAGCCAAGGTCAGAAATTTCTAGAGTGGACTGGACCACAGAAAGGGTTCAGGGCAACGTAAAGACATTGAGAGAAAAAGCTGTAGTGTAAAAAGTAGGAAAAATAAGAGTCACCATTAAAAAAAAAAAAAAAAAAAAAGAGGGCAGACAATGATATTTCCAAGCTGCACTCAAACTATCAAATTGTTTTTATTTGGAATTTACTTATCTGAAGAGCCATCGCTAGTCCCACATCCTGGTGGCAGTTAAGATCATTTAGGATGTTTTTACTGTCAATTCCTGGCTCAGAGAACTCCCCGCCTCTGGCACTCAATTGCT